CCCCCCCCACTGCTGTGCTTCAGCTTCTCCCCCAATTTTTGTCTCCCGTCTTTTCCTACAGCGATTATTTTAAGTCAAAGCGATCAGCTGTTTACTTTGTTAGTTTTAATTTCAGATAACTTGGAAACAGATTCAGCAGCACAAGTTGTTAGTAAAAGTCATTAGTTTAGCTTCATATGAATCACAATTAACCATTAAACTGCTGGAAGAAGTGAGACTCAGTGTCTTACTGATCAGTAAATCTGTGATCCACCTGATGGGTCTAGTAAACTGTGAATGTGCATTAATCTTAAACCATTTACAGCTGTATGAATGAGCCGCCCTGTTGAAGCGTGGCTTGGTGTTAGAGCAACAGATTACAGCCGTTTACAAGCTGAAGGATTATTCAAGCTCAGCTTACAGCTCATATCCTGAATTTAGAAATCTGACTTTATGAAATGAGCTCCAGGTCGTCAGATTTAAATATTTATTCATTTTATTTTTATTTTTTTTTTTAGGAGAAGCTGCTGTTAGAAGTGCAATAAAAACAGATGTTTTCTGGATGGCTACATGTTCAACTGAAACCAAACAAATGTATAAAAGATGTAAACATGTCACACGTTAAAGTGAAGGCAGAGTCAGTGTTTCACTGTCAACAAAAATTTTACATTTAAAACTGAATCTTTACGGCTTGAATCTGGATTTAAAAAACGTTTAAATCAGTTTCTGACACCTTGAGTGAAATAAATCTGTTGGATGATTTTTTTCCTGACCGTTTCTCTGGGTTCTGTTATTTGATGAAACTGGAGTTCAGTCACTCAGACGAGGGTTTCCTCTCGGCTCGGTGACTGAAGGAAGCTCCCTGTTAGCCGACATTCTCCCAACCTGAAATAAATTTACAATTTGCTGATAGATATTGCACCGACGGCGCTCCTGAATGTGACACAAACTGTATTTACAGCTTCACCAACACAAACTGAGACAAAGAAAACAGTTCTGTGAAAAACCGGGACGATGGGGGAACTCCTCAGAGCTCCGCTCGGCCTGAATGAGTTTAAAAACTAAATCACCTCCTTCTGCTGCAGTTCTCCTCCTCTGAGGCTAGAGGGCGCCGTGCTACATGTTTGCTTAAACGACAACGTTCCCCAGCAGAGTGGCAGAAGCGAGTCCCACGTTTGTCTTCCTCTGGACGGTTTAAAGTATAGCACCGCTTTGGTTCCATCGTGGACGGATCTGATTTTCACAAAAACATCTGTGGAGACGAGGAAGCGCGGCGGCGGCGCCCGGTCACAGAACAAAAACAACGATTCCCACAAACTGACTCCCCGAGAAGAAAGAAAACACCGACAGGAGGAGGAGAAGGCGTGGCTTCAGCATGCGGAAAAACACCCTCCGCCAGATGAGGGTCGCACACGTGCATGCCTCAGCTGCGAGCGCGCACGAGTCACCGCTCCGGCCCGGGTCGCCGTCGGGGAGCGTCAGGCTCAGAGCTGATGGACGATGCTGTCGGTCTGGTTCACTTCCTGCTGCAGCCGCCGCCACTGGAAGGTGGTGCTGACAGAACCCAGCTCCTCTTCGTCATTCTCCTGCTGCTTGGCGAACTCCAGGAACACCTGAGGARGAGGAGGAGCCACAAAACAACCGTCCGTCAGCTTCTTTGTATAAACCACGACGTTTCACAGCATTTTAGTTTAAAGTAGACATGATGCTTTTAAATCTTTTTTTTATATTTAAACCCTTCAGTTGGGTCTATGTAAAGTGGAACTGCAACGCTTGGGTCTGAATTCCTCCTTATTGTAACTTCACAAGCCCCGCCCCTTTTCTGAGCCGTGACTCAGATCATTTCGTTTTGGAACAGTCTCTAAACCCCATGCTTCACACCTTACCCCATTCAGTAGTTTGATAGTTAAACCAGAATTACCAGCAGCGTTTAAACTTTTTATTCACAATTTAACTAAAAGATGCCAACAAAGGAAGACTTGTCCATCCAGCCTTACATGATGGAGCCAGAAAATAAAGAGGAAAAACCTGCAGAACTGCACATTCACCAGTCCATGACTGTATTTAGCATATCCTCAGCAAATATTTTGAGGAAACTGTTCAGAAAACGGAGAAAACTGAACTGAGTGGGAAAAATACGACCCAAACCGAGAGATAAAAAAATTAACGTTTCTGCTTCTCAGAGACTCCAGGTATTCAACAAAACATATTTAACAGCTTAAAAAGTAGATTTTGCATGATGTCTCCTTTAAAAAATGTTTTCCAATATAAAATCTAAAACTTTTCAGAGAAACAATCTGATGAAAAAAAAAACAAACTAGTTTCCACCCACCTGCTCTAAAGTCGACTGAGAGAAGTTGAACTCCTCGAAGTTGAATGTTTGTTTGGCTGAAAACAGAAAAAAAAAACATCACTTAAACAGCTGTGTGTGTGTGTGTGTGTGTGTGTGTGTGTGTGTACTTGTTTTGCCTACAGAGTGAGGACC